GCTCCTGGCTCCTGGCTTCGGATCAGCACAGCTCCGGCCATTATGGCCAATTGGAGAGTGAACCAATGGAAGGAAGACCTTTCTCTCTGTCTCTCCTTCTCTCTCTGTGTAACCCTGACTTTCATATAAATAAATAAATCTTTTAAAAAAATGGGAATAAGAAGAAAACAGCTCTTACAAGCTGAGCAGTGCCCGTGGCCCAGGTCAGTCCCAGGCAGGGTACACACGGCCAGTATCTGCTATCAGTGATTCGGGAGAACTATGAACGCAGGATCCCTGTGTCCAGGCAGGGCTGGGGAGCACACGATGTGGAGAAGGATGGAGACTGAGAACAAGGCCACGCAGTGGGAGCTCAGGGGCTGCGGGGTTGAGGTTGTGTCTGGAAGGGTGTCCTGGGCGGGGGGTAGGGGGCACCTCTGCCAGGCCTTCAGAGGCTGGGCGATCAGGAGACAAGGCCCGAGCCTCCCACAGCCTTCTGGGCTGGCTTCCCGGGAGCAGCATGGGCCTAGGCACGCCAGCAGAGCATCCACTTGGTGACAGCCCTCAAGGGGGCAGGTGCTCCACCAGCCCCCTGGGCTCTGCGGCTCCTCTCTCCATCCCTGGGGAGCTCTCTGCCTCCACCTGCCGCCCGCCTTCCTCACCCCTTCCCCACCGAGGGAGCGAGTGCAGACACCTGGGGAGGTGGCCAACCGCCCTCCAGGCCCCTGCAGGCCCAGGAGAGCTTTCCACAAGCTTGGCCATGGCCTGCTGGGCCCAGGGCCAGGAGACAGACCTGGGCCTGGAAGAAAGGAAGCATAGGGCCTGAGCTGCAGGGTTGCCCCTCCCTGAAAGGCCCACCCAGGAGGCCAGACAGGACGGACACAGACGTCAGGACAAGCACACGGCCTGCGGGAAGCCAGCCCCTGCCTTCCTAGGGCCCCACAGGCCTGGCTGACTCAGTTCTTCCCCCAGGCTGGGCAACCCAGTGGCTGAGGCAAATGCCAGGGCCCTCAGACAACAGCTGGCAAAGGTACCCAGAGACTCGGCGAGACGGCTGGCGGAGGCAAGCCACACCCACCGCCATTCCTGCACCACTGCTGCTGACCAGGCGCATTATGCCAGCAAGCTCCAAGCAGGGAGGGCCAGGTGGCCTGGGGATAGCCCGGGGACAGCTGGGATGTAAACCCAGGTGCCTGATTCAGGGCTCCACCGAGTGGTGCCTTCAACCCAGGTCCCTAAACTCCCCCAATGGACACTTGCAGTTCAGCTGCGGAAAAGCTGCTTGGAGGTGACACGGGCACGGAATCGTCCAACACAACAAAAAGAACGTCACCAGTGCGGGAGGGGAGAGAGTGTTCCAGGCAGACGGCACGGCACGCGCTGGGGGCCGGAGGCCGGAGCGGCAGGAGCTGCAGTCGGCGGCACGGGTTTATAGCAGAGGATGGGGGACAGCAGGCAGCGGTGCTGAGGTGTCTAAGCTGACCTCAGCCCCTGGCTGCTGGAACTGCCTGATCCGAGGAGGAAGCCGAGCTTCAGAACCGGACCACGAGGCTGGGCCTGGGGTCTGCGCTCTCCACCGAAGGCCAGATGCAGGCGACAGTGGCTGCGGGGGGCTGGGGCCAAGCTTTAATTATTTACAAGGCTGCTTCGCAGCAGGCCTAGCTCAGCACTCCTGCGGCCCAGGCTCGCCCAGCTAATGAACTCTGCGCCGTGGGACAGCTCGCCACAGCCGCTCTTTATTAAACATGGGATGGAGGGGGCCGAGGGACACCCGGACAAGCCAGGCACAGGGGCCCGGCACCAGAGTGCTTGTCCAGCCCACCTTCCTACAGGGAGCCGCTCGGAATCCTTCCCAGGGCTGGGGCTGAATACATCATCTCAAGAGGAGGACTGGAGGCTGGGCATGACAGGCGGGGTCACCCGCAGGGCGGCCCCCGCACCTCCCCTGGCAGCAGCTCGGCTGCTGGGCACCTGCAGCCACATCCCAGCCCTTTCACCCTCGAGCCAGCTGCTTCACCCCTCTGCACCTGTGAAATGGAAACGATTCGTGGACTTCACAGGTTCGCCCATTTTACAGGCCGGGGAAAATAAGGCGATGCAAGTCAAACCTCAGCCACAGCCTGGCCCACAGCGAGGGTCCCAGCATCCTATGCGCGCTGCTGGTGTCCTTTCTCTGGGAGCAGAGGCCTGGCCAGGGGCCAGGGGCACCACCTCTCCACCCGCGCTAGGGAGCAACAGGAAGCCGGGCCCAGGGGCCAGCTGGCCTACGTGACCCAGGGCCACAGCCAAGACTCCCACCGACATCCCTGGCCGAACTGCCCTGCTCCCGGCCCCTTCCTCCACTTTGAAGGTCCTTGCAGCCGCAAACGGAGGGAGGCCCCGTGAGCTTTTCCTTTCCCCAGCTGGCCCGTCCCCTGTGTGTCCCACAGGCCAAGTCCCGCCCACCGAGAATGAGGCCCAGGACCGAGAAAGCCTGGGTCTGCGCTCCTGAGGAGATCTGTGGCTGTGTGGCAGCCACGCCGCCTCTCCTGAGTGAAGGGTGCCAGAACCACCTTTCAAGACCTAGCTCACTACCTCCTCCTCCAGGAAGCCTTCCTTGGCTTCCTCAGCACCAAAGCTCTCCCCCTCTGGCCTCGTGTTCTGGACTCTGTGGGAGCCTGAACTCATGATTTATAAATTCCAGCCCTTGGTCTGCAGGTCCAGGGAGGTACACAGGCAGGACGGCCCAGGCCTTCTTGTAGGGCCCAGTGCCCAGGCAGGCTGCTCAGGGAGGAGCCAACAGCCTGAGGGCAGAACCGTCAAAAGAAACTTGGTCTGGGCAGGGGGGCCCCTTCCACGGGGAAAGAACGGAACGGGAGAGGAAAGAACACCTCCCAGCACGTGGCCCGGACACAGCCACCCAAGGCCTCGCCTCCGATTTCCCCTTGCGGCCACTGGGAGCCATCGCTGCCCTGCCTGGAGACTTTCCATGCTTAGAGTCGATGATGGAGGGACCACTCCAAGCCCCTAACGTCCTGTGCTTCTGTCCACTACCTCCCGGCCCAGCATTCCATCCCACCCATCTCAGAACCACAGCAGAAGCCCAGACCGGCCAGTGGTGCTCTCCTGGCCCCAGCGAGGTCCCCACTCACCGCCACCATCAGGGGGCTGCTTCACTCCTCCACCTTGCCTGCAGCCCCCAGTGGGGACGAGAGGGAAGCGGACCAGCGTCTGCAGGCCTGGGGCTTTCCACACCACACTCCCCACCCCCTGAGTCCTGGTGGGCGGAGCGCCTCACCAAGTTCCGTCATTCTGAGCTGGGTGACCTTGGGCCAGCCACTCACCTTCTCGGAGCCAGCTGGTCTACAAATGGGTGACAGGGGAGCTTCTGTCCCTTCGCAGCCACCCCCACGAGACTGCTGCCATCAACAGAACCAGGGAGATAAGGGACGGGCAGCCCAGAAACACAGTTTCTTTCTCCCTCCCTGGCCCTCGGCATGGCCACGGAGGGGGACCACAGCTGAGCGGCTCCCACTGATGGCACTCCCAGCGCTGGGAAACAGTCAGGGTCACCACCAGGCTAAGCACCCTCACGTCAGGTGCTTAAGTTCAAGCTCCTCCTTAGCCACCCAGCGGCTGTGCAGCAAGGAGTTTCACCTCTGAGTGCCTCCGTTTTTTGCTCTGTGAAATGGGGCTGCTGTGAAAACAAAAATTTCTATGAGACGGGCACTTCACCACAGTGCTTGGCACAGTGGTCAGCACATATTGGTCTTGCTACTTCCAATTAATTACATTTCTAGAACTGGTCCTCAATCCCGCTAGGACTGCCAGGGCAGGAATTATTAGTTCCTGGGGTCAGGTGAGGAAACAGAGGCAGGCGCCCCAGGTCACAGAGCCAGCGCTGATCGGGTTTGACAGTAACGGGGTGAAGTTGTCTGGTAAACATGGCCGGGGGCCCCTCAGGTGCTCAACACAGAGCGTGCCAGTGCCAGCGTCCCTCGGCCCTTCCTGCCCGCCGCGTGGGGTGTGGGTCTGTCCGCCGGCTGCCCTCTATCCGCAGGCGCTGCGCTCCCGGGGGGCGGCGCTCCAGCACAGGGCACAAGGCAGGCGCCCAGTAATAAAGCAACTGCTACCTCTTTTGCGGCATCCCATCGCAGCTCCCTGCTAACTTGCTTCCGGTCCCCAACCCCCGCGCACCCTGAGAAGGAACTCCAAGATGGCCCACACCCACCACACTCAGCACAGGCAGCCGGCCACCTGCACACGCCGGCAAGGGGTGGGGGGTTCACGCACGCCCTCGGACCCGCTCCAGGAAGCAAACCCTTGCTCCCGGCCCCCTGCTTCCTGGTGTGCCCCATGACTCATTCCGGCTCGAGCCACCAGGAAAGAGCGGTGGGCGAGCACGGTAAGGTTAACGGGCGGCTCCGAAAAGCTCTTCGCAGTGACTCGGCAGAAAAGCGCCGGGCCCCGCCTGCACCTACCATGCGGCCGGGCGGGGCGGGGGCAGGGCCCCTGCGCCCAGGGCGCCGGAATACTACACAGCCGCCCGCTCCGCGATTGGCCGTTACGGCCACGGGGGCCTATGGGGTGGTCCTCGCTCAGCCAATCAGGGGCCCCGGGGAGCCCATTCATTCACAAAACCCGAGCAGGAAAAGGAGCGCGGGGAGGCCTGCAGCAGCGTGGAACTTCGAATCACGCGCGCGTCCCGCGGGGCCGGGCCGCGGGTAGGAGCGGGCGGGAGGCTGGAGAGCCGTGAGCCAGAAGCGTGCAAGGACGGCCGTGTCCCCGCCCACAGTGAGAACACCCCGGGTCGGCGCGCCCTCTTCCCTGGGCACCCTGCCTCGGGCTCCGCCTCTGGTCCCAAAGACATGCCGGCCGCCTGCTCCCGCCAGGTCGCCCAGAGCCACCAGGCCCGGAACGAGGGTGCAGGCTCGGGCGGCGAGGCCCGCTCAGGCGGCTGGGGGCTGCTGGAGCCACGTGTGCACCTGCGCCCCCCACCGATCACTTCCTCCCAAGCCCCCGTGCCCAGGCAGGTTACTCACGGCAGTCGTCCTCGTCGCTGTTGTCCGAGCAGTCGTCGTCCTCGTCGCATCTCCACACGGAGGGGATGCAGCGCCCATTCCGACACTGGAACTGGTGCTCTTCGCACTCCTTGACTGGCCCTGCGGTCGTGGGGGGAGGGGGAGATGGATCAGCTGACTTGAGCCCTGCGCCCCACCACGCACCCCAGGCTGCCTGGCGAAGGGAAGGGGTGGTGTTGGAGACCACGGGGGTTCCGGGCATCCTCGCTCCGGGATGGCTTGGCTTGCTCGGAAGACGGGCCGCTCGGCACAGCACACTTGGGGTCGGGCATCCCTCCACAGAGAGACACCCACTGCACACACGGCCCACAGTCATTCACGCAGACCCAGCGCGCGAGCACACCCCCCTTCCATCAGCCACTCTCTCTCCACCGAGCGAAGGGGTCCCCGGAAACGCATTGTCAGGCGGGGGAGCCGCTGGGCTGCGCTCACCGCCGCAGCGGAGCGAGCGTGTTAAATAAACCCCACCCGCGACACTCGCACCGCTCAGCCGAAATCAGAAATAATCTCCCGCACACCCCCCTCCCCGCAAAGTTCACAGCCGATTGGGCCCCCTACTGAGCCTAAGAGCGGGTGCCCGCAGGCTAGAGCCTCGGGGACGGGGGTCCAGGACACATTCAGGGGCCGCCGGGTCGCGAGGAGCCTGCCCAGCCCGGGGTCCGCGCCGCAACCCGCCCCCACCCCGGCCGCTCCGCCGCGCTTTGTTGGCTGCTCTGGCAGCGCAGAGCGGGGCCGGGAGCGACGCACGCACCTTGGCTGCCGCGCAGCGAATCCGCTGCCGCCTCGAGATGCTGGAGCTGCAGCAACAGCAGCAGCAGCAGCAGCGCCCGCGGCCGGAGCGCGCCCCGCTCCGGGCGGCCCATGGCGGGCCGGGGGCTCCGGCCACCGCGCCCCGCGCACCCCGCGCCGCTGCTGCCGCCGCGCCTCAGCCTTCCGAGTCCTTGCCGCGGCGCCGGGGCTGCCGCTGCCCCCGCCGCCGCCGCCGCCGCTGCCGCCCGCTCCGGCTCCTCGGCTGCATTTCAAGCAGGTTCGGTGACGCTCGGCGGCGGGGCGGGCTCAGGCTGGGCGCGCGGCCCCGGCCCTGGGCGGCCGCCGCCGGCGCGCGCGCTCTCTCCCGCTGCCGCCTCCGCCCCCACGCTCCTCCTGCCACCGCCTCCTCTTCCTCCTCCCTCCTGTCCTTGGTCCAGGCCTCCCTCCACGACCCCGCTCAGGGCCTGCGTGAGTGCAGACGCGGGGATGAGATAGGCGAGGACTCTGCCTCTAGAGATGGCAGCAAGTTTAGGCGAAGCAGCGTGAACTGCCTGGAGGAGGTGACGGGCCAATCGGAGCCTAAGTGGGCCTGGGCTCCGGAGAAAAGATGTTCCAGGGCACATGGGCCTGTGCAGTGTGCGTGAGGGCGGGGGTTGGGGGTGGGGGCTTGGGCACTAAGATGTGCGTGATCAGAGCGAAGCTGCGGGCTCTGGGCAGGACCTCTGCACCTGCCACATCAGCTCCCGCTATGTAGCTGCTTTCTCTGCATGTTTGCACCTGTGCAGGGCACACGCCTGGGTGATCCTGGGCAGGGCTGTGTGGCAGGTTGCTTGGGCGTGGAGCACGGGCCATCCATCCACCCTCGTCCAGTACCCACCATGGTCGCGGGCGAAGGGGCCCACAAAGTACCTCTTGGCGTGGCGGAGAAAGGCAAGCCCCATGGGGGACTCGCGGGAGAAACGCGCCCTCGCCGCCACCAGGGGCCGCTCGTGCAGGGACCCTGCGAGGATGACGCGGCGCCTTCCCTGGCGGCCTCCCCAGCCTGCGGGATGTGGGAAGCAGAGCTGGGACTGGATTTCAGCGGCCTGCTGGCGAGCCTGGCACAACCACACAGCCATCTTTGGAGAATGAGGTCTGAGGGCCTGGCTTGCGAGCGTCGAGGCCCAGAGTTAGGCTCTGCTCTTGCCCCTTTGCTTCCCCAGGAGGGTGGGAGCAGTGAGCCCCAGGCTCTGCAGCTGCCCCTGGCTTATCAGCGGCCATCTGAGCCTTATTGCTTGTCCCCAAGGATCGCCCAGAAAGGGGCTTCCACCCCAGCAAGCCCAGTGGCGCGGGATGGGGGGGGGGCCCTCTCATTAGCCCTTCCACTCCTAGTGAGGGCTGAGAGCACCAGCCCTGCCCACAACTCCACCTCCCTTCCCCCAGCCCCGGTGGTGGTGGGGAACCTCCACTTCTGCAAAACCACTGCCCAGAACCCAGCTGGCCCCAAACAGCCGACATGGCTGGTGACATTGACCCTGCTGTAACCTTTAGCTAATTATAATAACCTTATTTTAAAATGACCATGCTCCACATGGTGCACCTGATGCCACGGCGCTTCTGAGACTTCAAAAAACAGGTAAGAAAGTGGGAAGTCCTCAGGTCTCTCCCCCTAGGAATAGTCAGAGCCCCTGGGAGAGCAGCTCACACTCCAGTGTGTGCCCATTCCCCCAGTACCTCGCTGTGTCTCCTCCTCACAGTCTGTCCTGCAGCGTAGACATGAACCTGGAGCCAGCAGGAGGTCAGAAACACCCAGACGTGGGCCGGTGAGTCTCCCGGCTCTGACCTCCCTTGTGTTTGAGAATCTGGGTTTCATTCATTCCCTTCCACCGCTGCTAACTCCTCTTTTTTTTTTTTTTAAGATTTATTTATTTGTTTGAAAGTCCAATTTACACAGAGAGAGAAGGAGAGGCAGAGAGAGAGACAGAGAGATGTCTTCCATCTGCTGGTTCACTCTCCAGTTGGTCGCAACAGCCGGAGCTGTGCCGATCCAGAGCCAGGAGCCAGGAGCTTCCTCCGGGTCTCCCATGTGGGTGCAGGGGCCCAAGGAGTTGGGCCATCTTCTACTGCTTTCCCAGGCCATAGCAGAGAGCTGGATTGGGAGTGGAGCAGCCAGGTGTTGAACTGGCACCCATATGGGATGTGGCTATGCCACAGTGCCGGCCCCTGCTAATTCCTCTTAACCCAACCACATCTGGCCTCTCCAGAATGTGTTGGAGGTGAGCAGGCTGAGAGCCCATCACCGTGCAGCTTGGACACATTGGGTCGATGGTGAAGGAGGTTTGGTAAGAGAGGCGGGACATGCTCCCAAACCATGCAGTGCAGTGCCCAGAGCATCTCCTGTTTCCATTGTCATCTGGCCATGGATTTTCTACATTGCCTGACCTCTGCTTCATCTGTGCCTTCTAAAACTCGAGCCCTTTTGCTCCTTTGGGATGAGCACCCCATGGCATATTTGCCACCCTTGCCAATAAGGTCTTTGGTCCCCATGCAGTAATTCTTTCTCTATATGTAGCAAATAAACTGTCATTCTCTGACCCACAAGAACCCCCACTATCTCTGCAGAAAACCTTGGGCTTTGGCCATGCTCAGGTTCCTGGCTCCAACACCCAATGGACCCAACACCACCCCTCCCACCCCACCTACTTGGGGCTTCCATCTTCTCTGTCATTTGTTACAGTGCAGTCACTTCCCATGTTCATAGCAGCACCCAGAACAAGGGGCCTGGATGTGGTTCAGACATGCCTGACAAGTGCCCCAAGGGACACTTCATTCAAGAGTTTCTCCAGGGGGCCGGCGCTGTAGGGCAGCCATTAAGTTAAACTGCTGCCTTCAATGCCAGCATCCCATATGGACACTGGTTCAAGTCCCGGCTCCCCCACTTCTGACCCAGCTCCCTGCTAATGCGCCTGGGAGGACAGCAGAGGACAGTCCAAGTGTTTGGGTCCCTGCACCCCCTTGGGAGAGCGGAAGAAGCTCCAGGCTCCTGATTTCAGCATGGCTCAGCTCTGGCCGTTGCAGCCATTTGGGGAGTGAACCAGTGAATGGAAGATTCTCCCTCTCTCTGCAACTCTCCCTTTCAAATAAATAAAATAATTTTTTAAAAAGAGTTTCTCTGGGGCTGGCACTGTGGCGTAGCGGGTAAAGCTGCCTCCTGCAGTTCCTGCAACCCATATGGGCGCCAGTTCATGTCCCGGCTGCTCCACTTCCGATCTGGCTCTCTGCTATGGCCTGGGAAAGCAGTAGAAGATGGCCCAAGTCCTTGGGTCCCTGCACCCACATGGGAGACCCAGAAGAAGCTCCTGGCTCCTGGCTTCAGATCAGCACAGCTCCGGCTGTTGCGGCCAATTGGGGAGTGAACCAGCAGATGGAAGACCTCTCTCTCTCTCTCTCTCTCTCTCGATGCCTCTCCTCCTTTCTCTGTGTAACTCTCACTTTCAAATAAATAAATAAATCTTTAGAAAAAATAAAAGTTTCTCCGAATTCTTCAAAGCAAGAGCTCTCTAGCCACTCTTCATTGGTACCTTTCAGGATTAGCCTAACAGTGGAACTGCTGAGGCTGGACCTGAAGCGCTGGGTGGCCTACCACCTTGCCATGATGCTAACAATGAGGCCTGGGGTCTGGTGACCACCTCCCTACAACCCCCGCCCCCACCCGCCCCGGGAACCTCTGCTCTCCTTTTCCTCTCCCTGGGTCATGAAGAGGGTCTTTCAGCCATGGGGAACTCCCCAGCCTTCCCAGGCTCACCCCTGGGTTGCCTCCTTAAACACTGGGACGCCCTTAGACTCGATGTTCTACACAAGAAGCTCATTTTCTTTCACACTTGGTCACAGCATACGCTAGAGAGTGGGAAAACCTGGCTGCCCTTGACTTTAACCCTGCCCTCCAATTTGACTTCTTCTGAAAGAGATAACCAAAACGGTCAGGAATTCCTTACGTCCAGACTGTGGTGCTCTGTGAAAGCCCTACCCTTAGGGGAAGCTGTAGGCTCTGTTATGCCCATACCCTCCTGGAGACGTCAGATTTGAAAGGGCATCAGATAGAGTAGGCTGTGTGGCGTAGTAGGCTAAGCCTCTGCCTGCGGCACCGGCATCCCTGAGCACCCTGCAATCTCTGAGCCAACCCAGGGGACACTGACACAAGAAATGTTCTGAGGCCAGCTCTGTGGCTTAGCAGGTAAAGCCGCCGCCTGCAATGCCAGCATCCCATATGGGCCCTGGTTTGAGTCCTGGCTGCTCCACTTCGGATCCAGCTCTCTGCTATGGCCTGGGAAAGCAGCAGAAGATGGCCCAAGTGCCTAGGCCCCTGCACCCACATGGGAGACCTGAAGAAGCTCCCGGCTCCTGGCTTCAGATTGGCCTAGCTCTGGCCGTTGTGGCCAACTGAGGAGTGAACCAGTAGACAGAAGACCTCTCTCTCTCTCTCTCTCTCTCTCTCTCTCTTCCTCTGTCTCTATCTGTCTGTAACTTGGCCTTTCAAATACATAAATAAACAAAAAAAAAAGAGAAAGATAGAAAGAAAGAAAGAAAGAAAGAAAGAAAGAAAGAAAGAAAGAAAGAAAGAAAGAAAGAAAGAAAGAAAGAAAGAAAGGTTCCCACCTTAAAATTCCACCTGGTCCTGCAATGTAAACAAGAAAGGTACTAGAAATGGATTTTTCAGCTCCGAGGGGGCCTGGGAACTCAGTTGATTCCCACAGCCAATCTGACCCCCACACTCCTGGAGTCCTGGAGACTCAATGTCACAGGCTAGACTCTCAGTTTCCTTCCTTCCTTCCTTCCTTCCTTCCTTCCTTCCTTCCTTCCTTCCTTCCTTCCTCTCCTTCTTTCTTTTTTAACAAAATGTATTTACTTATTTGAAAGTCAGAGAGAGAGAGAAATTTTCCATCCACTGGTCACTCCCCAAATGGCCACAACGGTAAGGGTTGGGCCAGGCCGAAGCCTGGAGCCAGGAGCTCCATCCAGGTCTCCCACACGGGTGCAGGGGCCCAAGGACTTGAGCCATCTTCTACTGCTTTCCCCCAGGCAGCGGCTTAACTCACTGCACCACACAGTCAGCCCCAGCTCATCAGCTCTGATACAGAGCTACTTACTCTGTCCTGGATTCCCACGCGGGATCCCCATCCTCAAAGAGCTGTGTCATCTTGGCAGTGGTGGCCAGTCCCACATGGAAGACGTCCTCATCTTCCACCAGTTTCTGGTGATGCTGGGGTGTCTGCGCTGACTCAGCTCGCCCCACGGGCTCTTC